CCATTAGAGTTCAGCTATCTTACCACAACAGGCCCTGAATATTCCAACACAGCTGAAGCACAAGAAAAAGACCTTTAAAGTGACTATATGAAGATGAAAGATATCCTTAAAGAGGAAACAAATAAATCCCTTTCAAAAATCCAAAATATCACAATTGGAGGAAATTAATAAATACTGTAAAGAAAGCAAGGAAAATACAAACAATTAGAGGAAATGAATAAACCCCTTAAAAAAGCCTAGAAAATGCAAACAAACAGTTGAAGGAAAGGAATATAACTATTCAAGACCTGAAAATGGAAATAGAAGCAATAAGGAAAATGCAAACTGGGGTGATTCTGGAAATGAAAAAAAAATTAAGAATTCAAACGAACTACAGATGCAAACATAACCAGCATTATACAAGAGACGAAAAAGAATCTTAGGCACTGAAGATACCATAAAGGAAATGATACATTGAAATTTTAGATTTAAAATGTTAAATCTAAAAAATTCCTGACACAAAACATCCAGGAAATCTGGGACACTATGAAAAGACCAAACCTACGAATATTAAGAATTGAGGAAGCACACACACCATCAAATAGATTGGACCAGAAAATAAAGTCCCCTCACCACATAGTAATCGAAACACTAAACATACAGAACAAAGAAAGGATATTAAAAGCTGCAAAGGAAAAGTGCCAAGTAACATATAAAGACGACCCATTAGAACAACAACCCACTACTCAATGGAGACTAACCCTTATCCAAATTAACTAAAAGGTGGAGAGAGAATATCCAAATTAATAAAATGAGAAAAAAAGAGGGACATAACAACAGACACCGAGGAAACTCAGTGAATTAAAAGGACATTAAAAACCTGCACTCCACCAATTGGAAAATCTAAAAGAACTGGAGTTACAGACAACGAGCTGCCATGGGGGTGTTGGGACTCAAACCTGGGTCCTCTGGAAGAGCAGCCAGTGCTCTTAACCACTGAGCCACCTCTCCAGCCCGGGAAAATCTAAAAGAAAGGGACAATTTTTGCAATAGGTATCACCACAATTAAATCGCAATCAGATAAGCAACTTAAATAGACCTAAAACATCTAGTAAAATAGAAGCAGTAATTAAAATTCTCCCAACCAAAAAAAGCCCAGGGACAGGTAATTTTAGTAAAGAATTGTACCAGACTTTCAAAGAAGAGTTAATGCCAGTACTCCTCAAGTTACACAAAATAGAAACAAAAAGAAAATTGCCAAATTCATTTTATGAGGCCACAGTTACCCTGATACCCAAACCTCATAAACACTTAACCAAAATGGAGGATTACAGACCAATTTCCCTTATGAACATACATGCAAAACATCCAATAAAATACTTGCAAACTGAATCCAAGGTAGATGAAGTACCCCAGACCCAGAAAGACAAATATGGTATGTATTCACTTATAAGTGGGTATTACACATTAAGCAAATGATAACCAAGCTACAGTTCACAGACACAGAGTGGTTAGGTAAAGAGGAGACACCTGGGGGAATGTATAGATCTCCCTGGAAAGAAGAAATAGAATAGATTTTGTGGGTGGATTGGGGACCCGTGGGGATGGGAGTGTAAGGGATCAGGTGGAGGGTAGGACAGAGAGAGAGGGTGTGGGGAGGGATGGCTGGAATTGGGGAGGGACATTTAGGAGATGATGAGGAAACCTAGTACAGTGGAAACTTTCTGAAATCTATGAGGATGGTCGTCCTAGTAATGGAGGATATGGAATCTGAACTGGCCTCTCTTCCATTGGCAGGACTCGATTGCATTCAATTGAGTTGTTCTCCGAAGGGGTCCAGTGGAGATCCGCAAACAATCCAGGCTTAATGCTAGAACAGAGGGTTGCTCTCCAAAAACTGGCACCGGGGCCCCATTGTCATGGACAACATACACATAGCTCATTGAGTGTAGAGAGGTAAAACTGGGGAAGCCTTCACCCTAAGTTCTAGTCTCTTTGGTGTGAGAAGGTACTCTATAGGCTACTGAAAGAGAAACCAACCCAGAAAAAAAGAACTGTCCACCTATAATCTGTCCTGCCTACAAAATATGCTAGAGCAATGGTGGCACAGAAGTAGGAGTGGCTAACTAAATGTTTGATTTACCTTGAATTATCTAAGCAGGGCTCATAGAGACTCACAGAGACTGGAGTAGCTAACTCCCTTTAGAGCCTGAATTAACATATAAGGAGCTCATTATACTGGGACAGAAGAACCAGAAGGACTCAAGGTAGGATGGCAGTTGGCAGCTATGCATATGCTGATTAGTAAGTACAGAGCCAGTCTGCAAAAAAAAAAAAATCACTATGAGAATTCATGGTGGGAAGAGCTAAAGAGAAGAAGAGAGAACAAAAGAAAGCAGAGGTAATCACTACTCCTACCTTTGTTTCTGAGCTTTTTAGTCCTGAGTTTTCATGGGTGGGTGGAGGGCTATGTGGAAAGGAGACAGTGCCTCAAGTAGCCCAGGCTGGTCTTGAACTTTCCCCTGCTTCTACATCTCAAATGCTGGGAATATATCACCACACCCAGCTACAACTTGTACAATTTCAATTTAATTTTAGTTTAATTTGGGGTTAGACTGCAGTGGACTCAGAGTTACTAGAGAAGACCCCTAATCTTCACTTTTATTTGAGAATCTTTGAAAAAATTACAGGTTGATTTAGGTTTCATTTTAGGTTTGAATTTCTCATGAGCACATATTTTAAAGCAATGAGTTTTAGAAATTATTTCTCTAAAATTATTTTTATTGAGTAGTATCTTTTTTTTTTGGTTTTTCGAGACAAGGTTTCTCTGTAACTTTGGTGCCTGTTGAGTAGTATCTTCATGTAAAGCATTATCCCTGAGGGACAGAGCTCCCCTAGGCACCAGAAGGCTGAGGGATGCATTTCAATTTCTTTGTCTCTGACGAATTAGAGAGAAACAATATAAAGACAGGAAAAGGGTCCAGACAACACAGGCTCTGGGTTTTTCTAGTACCTGCTCAATTACTGTCATTGTGGTCACAGACTCATTCCTGGATCTTGGCTTCTTATTCTGCACTATGCAGTGATCAAAGTTTTGCTATTCTATGAACATAAACCGGAAGCTAGGCTCTAAACCAAAACTATCTTCACATAGAAAATTATCGGACACTGAAGAAAAAAAACGTGTAATGACCAGCCTTTACCGACCAAGATCTGAAACTTCAGTTTCTGGTCATTTATAATTTCTTCCTGATTGTGCAAAAAGGACAGGAAATGAAATGGGGAACAATCTTAATGTCCAAATTAAGTTAAAGGCTCATTTAAAATCCACATTCCCATTAAATGTGATAGGTGTGGCAAAGTAAAAAGATAAACAAATTTGAAACTGAACTGATAAGTATTCAATGTCCTATCATGATGGCGAAATACTATACCTCAGAGAAATCAACTTATCTATTATGAAAGCAGTTCATTTGTATTGTACTAAAAGTCCATCTAAATACAACAAACATTAATATATATTCTTAAATCCAGGCAAACTTTGTACCACTTGCTTTGAACAGATCTGATTGTTTATGCGGTAGGGTTTATATTCTCTAATAGACTATGCACTGCTTGAGTTCCAAAAATACCTTTGTAGTAACTCCGCATGCCTCCCCCACCTCCACAATTGGGTCACTTTCTTTGGGAAGATATAGAGGAAAGGTTATATGTGTTTGTATCATTAGATGCATGTAATCACTTGCTCAACATTCTATGGAGCACCTAGACTGAGTGAGCCAAAGGCACAGGCCCCTTTACAATATTCTTTTGCTTTCAAACTCACAGTTCTAGTAAGGAGACAATACTCAGTTATTTTACTAGATACTTTTTCAGTTTTGGAGAGATAAGGAGATTTTAGAAAACTCAACGGGTTGGAGAGATAGCTCAGTAGTTAAGAGCATTTGCTTCTCTTGCAGAGGTTTGGTCTCCAGCACCCACTTGGTGGCTTACAACTATCAGTAACCAGGAGATTTGAACCCTTTCAACCTCTGCGGACACACCAGACATGCACAACTTGACCAGAAGCTTGTGGGGTCTATGAGAAGGGTGCTGAGGGGAGGAGTGAAGGACACAAATTTTAGGTCTTATCATGGCAACAAGAATTCTTTTGAGGGCTGGAGAGATGGCCCAGTGGTTAAGAGCAGTGACTGTTCTTCCTAGAGGACCTGGGTTCAATTCCCAGCAACCACATGGCAACTAACAACTATCTCTAACTCCAAGATCTGACACCCTCACACAGACATACATGCGGGCAAAATGCAAATGAAATAAAAGTAAATAGTTTTTTTAATTTTTTTTTAAATTTATTATGTATCTAATATTCTGTCTGTGTATATGAGGAGGGCAGTAGCAGACCTCATTACAGATGGTTGTGAGCCACCATGTGGTTGCTGGGAATTGAACTCGGGACCTTCGGAAGAGCAGGCAATGCTTTTAACCGCTGAGCCATCTCTCCAGCCCAGTAAATAGTTTTTTCAAAAGAATTCTTTTTCTCACGCGATTTATGTCATAAAACAAGTCTACTATTCCACAAGGCATCCCCTCCAGAGCTTAGAATTTCGAAACTTTGGAAACTTGAGCATCACATTAGGAGAAGGGAACTCCATGTAGCCTAACAGTCAGCTACATGGAGCTAGTTCCCGGAGAGGAGGGGCTGAGGGCGGGGCAGGACCGACCAGGAGGTTGGGTCCTCTGTGAGTGCGCCCCAGTGGCCAGGCCAGCCCGGTTTGCTGACGTTAGGAGCCAGGCTTGGATTGGTGAATGAGTCCTTCTGTCTGAGCTCATAGGTGCAGAGCGGCTTGCGGGGCTTTGATTGGCTCAGTGGCTTCTGACCATTCATTGGCTGTGGTAGGTCGTCAAGGCGACCGAGGGGCGGGGAAAAAAGGAGAAGGGTGTTGGCCCTGGCGGGAGTGCTGAAGGTTGTGGGCGGCTGGGCTGCACTCCTGGGTGGTGTCCGAGGAGCTGCTGGCCAAGTCGCCCTGTCGCCCTGGGTTTCCGCCACCCTCTGGGAGTTGTCCGAGCGCGTGGGATCCACTAGCGAGACCCTTTGGCCGGCGCCATGGGCTGCTGCTTCTCTAAGAGACGGAAGAGTGAGAAGGAGTCGAAGGCTGAGGGAGAGGAGGAGCAGCCCAAGCTCTACAGCTGGAACCAACGGGAAAAGGTGATATTTTGAGGGCTCCCTACTCTGCGTCCTCCCCGACTGCCCCTCAGAGGGTCCCGAAGGAGCAAGCGAAAACGGGGCAGGGAGGCGGGTGGCCCACAACTGCCTTTCTCGCGCGCGCTCAGGGAGCTGAAGTCGGTATGCAGGACTTTGGGCTCTGGCTGGGAAAGGCTCGAAGGAGTTGGTGGTCTGCCAAGCTAGACCCTCAGGGCCTCATCCTTGGCTCTGTACCCTGACTCCCCATCCCAGGATGGACTTCCAGGGAGGTAAAGAGCCCGGAGGGTGCTGGATCTCCAATCAGCTCCTTTCACCAGCAGTGGCCAAAGAGGTTTGGTCGAATTTCACACACCAGACTGATTCTCATCTTTTCTGCAGCTTGTGTTCCTGAGCTGTTTCTCTTTTGTCTGCCCTTCCTGACAAATCTCTTTTGGTACCTCTTGGTGTTACTCAGTTACTAAATGAATTGTTTCATGTCCACCTTTGCTCTCTCTCCTTTTCCGTTTACCGGAAAGAAATAATGAAAGTTAAGGCAGTCTTGGAATACATTATTGTGTGAAGTGAAAGTCACCAACATAAACCAGGAAGTAGTTTATTATTGTTGCTTTATATGAATGAAAACACCCTTATTTTTATATTATGTATAGCTAAAACCCAAAAAGTTTCGAAAAAGTCCCCTATTCTTACACAAAACACACTCACTTAGGCATACATTTCACAATGGTTCCTCTTTCTACATAGTTCTTCATTTCTGCCTAGTATAGTTGCTTGTAAAACAGTTTGATAGGCGCCTATTCTTTTGGTTTCCCAAACAAAATGAAAGATCTTATTTTTTTAAATGGGTGTTGGTTAACTATTGCTTAATGCAACACCTTTGACCAAAATATACTTTATAGTAAGTCTGTTATTAATGCTTTGATATAATAAATCATCCTGCATCTTTTAAAATCCCCAGAATAATTTAGGTATTCATATAAACAAGATTCTCAAAGTATTGGCTTTAAAAAAAATCAAAGATTTTGCTGGACTTCTCAGGCCCAGATTTGTGCATTTGATTCTGAAACCCTGGGCCATGTGGCTTTTTGTTTCCCTTCTCTTATAGCAAGATTTTGTCATGTAGGAAAGTGGTCGATTTTCTGTTTTATAAGAAGATTGTACCTATCAAAGTTATTTGGTTGGTGGATTGTTAAATATTCATTTTCGATAGCCTTGGGATTTCTAACAGTGCTGTTTAAATTTTTTTCTCCCCAGTACTGGAGATTGAACTATGCTAGGCAAGCATTCTACCACTGAGTGGCATCCCTAGCTAAACAATGCTCTTTAAACTTGAACTTACTGCTCCAGAGAGTTGTTTTTGTTTTGTTTTTCAACTTTTTGTTTTAAGGTCACAGGCTAAAACTAAAAGTGTGCTTTACATTTTTTGCAGTAGGACAAAGTTCTGGTTAGCTGGGATCTTCTGTTCGTTTTGTTGTACTATGTTACGATATTTTGAGACAAGGTCTCATGTAATTTTGATATCCTTCGCTAACTGACTAATCCTCCTGCCTCTATCTCCTGATTGCTGGAATTGCAATTCTGGTTAGAGACGATGATTTGTTATGTACCTCTAGCTAGCCTGTTACACATTCTATAGCCAGGCTGACCTTGAATTTTCGGCAATTCACTTACCTTAGCCTATTGAGTACTGAAATTATAAGCTTGTGTTACCACACCCTGATAATTGGGATCTTTCATGTGTACGTGTTTTGTGATTTCTTTTTTTTTTTTGTGGTCTTTCTCTAAGTACTGAAAAAGGAGCATAGTAGATATTAGCATCTAAATCCCCTCCTCCACCATGTGAATGTGCTTTAGGTTTCAGAATGTCATAGAGTCTAAGTCTATGTGGTTTAAAGCTAGATCAAGCAATTATTCAGCCTGTAAGACTTTTTTAAAAATGAGTTGCCTGTAATTTCCTTACCATTGGAAAAGTAGTATTTAAAATTTTGTTAGGTTGCATAATAAGAGTTGAAAGGCACCCCAGGGTTTTGGGGTTTTGCATTGGGTAATTGGGTCAGCCTTAAGGGATTAAAGCAAGGAGAAATTGTCTCAATTAGAAAGAATGTTTGGGGACTAAGTAGTGTCATGGCAACTTACATACTGCAGTCAACAGTGGAAGAAATTCATTTTCCATTGCGGCTGACTTTGAAAAAGGGGGAAAAAGCCTACTACATAGTTACTGCATTGACATGACAAGAAATATTTTGGGGTTGCAAGATCGCTGTTTAAATTATTTGGAGCCAGGTGGTGGCGGCGCACGCCTTTAATCCCAGCACTCGGGAGGCAGAGGCAGGCGGATGTCTGTGAGTTCGAGGCCAGCCCGGTCTACAAGAGCTAGTTCCAGGACAGGCTCCAAGACTACAGAGAAACCCTGTCTCGAAAAAATAAATAAATAAATAAATAAATAAATAAATAGGAAAGAAATGCTTTTGTCATTATTATTTGTATGCTGCATTTATTAGCTAAGCAAATTATTCCATGTATATGTATTCAAACACCAAGGAAAAGCCAAAATTATTATTCTTGCCCTCCAAGAGCTTACTGGTCCTTTGGAGTTAAAACACGAAATACTGAAGCAAAAATAAAGATGAGTGGCATAGAAAAGTAGTTTTAAATTTCCAGTTACTCATGCTAAAACTCCTAAATAATAGAAATAAGAACTAGTTTTCTTGGGCAGGCATGGTGGAACACACCTATAATCCTAGCAACTCTGGAGGATAGGTGCTTATGAGTTCAGGGCCAGCCTTCTGGGTAAGTGTGGTCATTATGAGACTGAGATCTGGACTCCTTAAAAAAATAGTTCTCTAAATGATAGCCTAAGTAGGAAACTTGTGACTTGAGTATGAAGAACACATTTGTATTTGTCTCATGATCATTAGAAATTCAAGTGTCTGTTGTGCATCTTTGGGTAAAGCAACCAATTTGTGCAGTTCAGGTGTCTTAGATATAAGAGTTCTGCACAGTTTAGCAAGGTGAAGAAGGTCTGTCCTGAAGAAGAGACATTCATTGATAGTAATGATCATCTCCAGAGATAATACTTTGAGCACAACTTACGAGAGATCATAATCCCCAGAATTTTCATCAATAGATGGGGGTGACTTTGTGAGGAGCCGATGTCTATGTTAGAACCTTCAGAGAGGTTGGATGGGTAACCTACTAAAAAGTGTCTGCAGTGGCTAGGAAGCTAGATGCTATTTTCATCATCTTCTAAGTATGTGAGGTAACTCAGTTGTCCATCGATGTGAACTAAACCAGCCCCAAACTTAATACCTTCAAACACTGGTAAATACTGGTTTTGTTTATGACTCTGCCCTTTGTGTAGGGCTAAGCAGGGTTGACTCTATATGGCATCAACTGTGACAACTTGAGTAGGGACTGAAGGATCACCTTCAGGGTGGCTTAGCCCCAAAGCCGGCTGGCAGGGAGCTCAAGTGGGACTGAAGGCCAAGCACTCTCCATGCGCAGTCTGGGCTTCCTCCACGGTGAAGAGGTCCAAGGACCAGTGACCCCAGTGAGACTAGTACATCTTTCTCCCCCAAATAACTTTCTGATGTCAATATTTCATTACATACATATTTTAAGGTTTTTTTTTTATTTTGCAGTTATAGGTATATGTGAGTATCTGAGTGTGGGTTTGGACACATGAGTACAATGCCTGTAGAAGGCAGAATCCGATTCTCTGGAGCTGGAGTTTCCTTCAGTGATGAACCACCTCACCTGAGTGTTGGAAACTCAGGTTCTCTGCATGTACTCTTAATGACTGAGCTATCTCACCAGCCCTTCATTACATATATATTAAGAGAAAGTGTTTAATGTGCATATTAAAACTTAAATAATTATCTGCTAAGAGCTGTTTTTTTAAAAAAGGACTTCCTTTTGTAAACTGGATTTCCATTATATTGAGCAAATTCCATTATTGTATCTCAGAATATCATTACTGAAGTTAACTATGAAAATAAAATGTAATGAAAATTTTGCTTGCTTCTTAGTAAAGGAATAAAATGTTCACTTATTTTCTGTTAGGAAAATAATGCCTAATAACTATTGGATACTAAATCAGATTAAATCCAGCTTCTGCTACATAGCAAGTTTGAGGACAGCATAGGTAATAAATATAAAAATAAACTATGCTCACTTCATCAAGGCTCTTGCTTTAAAGTACTTTAGATTATAACTTATCCATGCTTATAATTTTAGACATTTTAAGAACTAGTAACTTTTATAAAATTATTATGGTTCTAAACTACATATTCGCTATTAATTTTTGTTTTGAAAAACTTTTGGAAATTTCTGAGAAAATATAGTAACACAAATCTTAAATTTGTCCTTTGAATACTGTTTAATAATCCAAATAATTTTATATTGTAAAGTTAGCTATTGCATCTTTAGCTACAGGATTAATTTCTCTTCATAAACTCATAAAAATGGAATGTCTAGGGAAAGACTAAGAGGAGTAAATTACATTGAACACCTCAGCACTGGGGGCTCTTATAGAATGTGTAGTAATCAAACATTGTTGAAGGCCTAAGGCCCCTTATATTTGCAGTTAGGGCCACTAAAGAAATAAATAAGGTCACATAAGATTCCTAAGGATGGAATTCCGATCCTACAGGATTAATGACTAGAAGATTCATCAGAAGGGAAGCACAGTCATGTCCCCTGACTCCACATGGAGGAAAGTGCTGGTAAAGATACAGATACAGGGATTAAAAGGGCTTTTTCATTTGGAGCCAACTATACCAGGCTGCCATAATAAATTGCCATATTCTGGATGTCTTAAACAAGTTTATTTCTCAGAGTTCTAGAGCCTGAGACTCACAAGATCAAGATGCTGGCAGGTTTGTTGTCTGGTGAGATCTCTCTTCTTGGCTTCAGATAGCTATCTTTTTGCTGTGTCCTTTTATATGACTTTGCTTCTATATACTCTCCAGCTTCAGAATGCTCCTTTCCCACTTTTGTGTGTGTGT